CTTTCAGCTATGAACACATTAATAAAAATGTTGTTTTGAGTTTTGACCGCTTAAAGAGAATATGATTTATCAAAAGAAAACACAGCTAAACGATCTAACGATGTAAAAGTGCTTGTTGTTCTTCTTCTGTGGTAAATCGTTTATACAAATATATATATATATATATAAATAAACGAATTATATATATATATGTATAAATACACTTTAGATAGTAAATAACACAATACTCTTAAGGGTCCATGTTTCGTTTCTGAATGCTGTGGTGTTAAATATGTAATATATAAACACACACACACATATACACTAATATATATATGTGTGTGTGTGTGTGTGTGGTTGTGTGTGTAGGTATTGTATGTATTGAAGGGTGTCAACAGTTTGTTTTGATCAGACCAGTCCAATAAAATGTTTCTTTGTATGATTTCATAAATGCCGCCGCAATCAAATCAGTCATTCATTTTTTTCAGAGACTCATACTCCTTTTCTTGTTGTTGTTTCACCATCATTCATCAACAGTTCAGCTCATCAACATGAAAAAACAGGTTTTGTCGGGTGACATGCTACAGCCAAGCCTATTTTGGAGAAACAACAAACACCAGGAAGTGAAACCAGATACCAACCAGATACCTCTGAGAAATTTTAAAGTGGGACCTACAGCATTTTCTACTTTTGTCATGATGTTTTGTTATGTTGTTTTCTTCTGCTTGTATATGATGTCTATATATACATGGAAAAACATGTTTTATATATATATATATATATATATATCATATACAATCCATGTATACGAATATATATGATATATTTATATATATATATATATATATATGTTATGTGTGCTATTTGTGTAGGTTTACTCAAGGACTGTAGCTTTTGCCTTTTACCTGTTGCTATGTTTTGTTCATGCTCTCTTTTTCACTGTCTAATATGATGACATCATCATAGTTCAGATAGGTATATGAGACAACAGAAACTGTAGGTTGGAAAAACGTCTTTCCGGTGCCGTGAGTCACACTCACACTGTTTGACTCGCCTGAGTAACACTCTGTTTCACCTGACATATATTTAGGAAACATTATCATGTTTCCTGGTATCGTTCCAGGTTTCTTCAACCCTTTTTCAGTGTTTTCCTCAGTGTTTCAGCTCAAGTAGAAAAAAAATATAATAAAAAAATATTTTTTTGACAGTTTTATATAGGTAACTTTCCAGTTAGCACCAGAGGAATGTTGCACTGCAACTTTCTGCACATACACACTCAAAGTATTTTGACTGTGATTCTACAGATTGTCCCAGTAAAGGTCCCTGAAAACTGAAATAGAACCTATTTGACAATGGCCGAGAGACAGAGTACACCCTAGATCATTGCAGGGCTAACAGTGCTAACCACCTCATTATGGTGTTGCCCTGTGCTTTGCATCATATAAAGAAAAAGATTTTTTCTCTTGAAAATACCCACATTTGCACTTTAAATAAATAAAATAATCACGTTCCGATCATCTGAAAACTTTGCATCTGGAATATAATTATTTTTTATATTGATTTTTTAAGACATGTTCTTTAAATAAATAACAACTGCTTTTTTTATAGAGGTTTCTGGACCTGAAGTTCACATTTGTACAATTCCAAAGCAGTTTATATTTGTATGTTAAGTAAATACCGTGACAAATATGATCAAATATGATACTAATAAATATGATTAAAATGATGCCTTTTTAAAATCAGAATTCTTCGAACCTATGGTATAGAATATACAAAGTTTTTAGGGAAAAAAAGTGTGTAAATCAGCAGTTTCTCAGGCAAAGCTTCAGTTATCTGTTGACACAGAAAACTGTTTTCAGACATTATTGTTAGATTTGTGTCGCTTTCATTGCACAGGAACCCTGACACTGTTCCCTTTTTTGTTCTTCTTGTTGTGTTTGTTGCTGCTGTGACAATAGGAATTTCCCCTTTAGGAGATCAACAAAGTTTTATTCTATGTGCAAAGCTTTCTCATGAAAGAAGGTTCATCTTCCAGCATGCAAAGCTGTGGAGTGTGTCATGTTATTGAATTAGATTTCGGCTCAAGCCAAACCTTTCAGAACAGTTTCTGTCAGCTGTGATGCCTATCCAAAGTTTGAGATTATAAAAATGTTTAGTAAGTAAGGTGGCTTTGAATGTGTAATGCCTTAAATATGCTAGTGCTGGATTGTTTGATGGGTTACATTCCACTCTGAAGACACCAAGAAGAAAACAAAGTGTCACAGGTTTTTACTTGTCAGAAACAGCTATAGCTGCCAATAACAATAATTTTAGGTTTACTGTTTTGACTTTGTTAATATAGTTCTTTCTTACAGAGTAGGACAATTCCCTTTCATTTTTGGCACCAAACATATACAGGGGTTGGACAAGGAAACTGAAACACCTGGTTTTGGACCACAATACTTCATTAGTATGGTGTAGGGCCTCCTTTTGCGGCCAATACAGCGTCAATTCGTCTTGGGAATGACATATACAAGTCCTGCACAGTGGTCAGAGAGATTTTAAGCCATTCTTCTTGCAGGATAGTGGCCAGGTCACGACGTGATGCTGGTGGAGGAAAATGTTTCCTGACTCGCTCCTCCAAAACACCCCAAAGTGGCTCAATAATATTTAGATCTGGTGACTGTGCAGGCCATGGGAGATGTTCAACTTCACTTTCATGTTCATCAAACCAATCTTTCCCCAGTCTTGCTGTGTGTATTGGTGCACTGTCATCCTGATACACGGCACCTCCTTCAGGATACAGTGTTTGAACCATTGGATGCACATGGTCCTCCAGAATGGTTCTGTAGTCCTTGGCAGTGACGTGCCCATGTAACACAAGTATGGGGCCAAGGGAATGCCATGATATGGCAGCCCAAACCATCACTGATCCACCCCCATGCTTCACTCTGGGCATGCAACAGTCTGGGTGGTACGCTTCTTTGGGGCTTCTCCACACCGTAACTCTCCCGGATGTGGGGAAAACAGTAAAGGCGGACTCATCAGAGAACAATACATGTTTCACATTGTCCACATCCCAAGATTTGCGCTCCTTGCACCATTGAAACCGACGTTTGGCATTGGCACGAGTGACCAAAGGTTTGGCTATAGCAGCCCGGCCGTGTATATTGACCCTGTGGAGCTCCCGATGGACAGTTTTGGTGGAAACAGGAGAGTTTAGGTGCACATTTAATTCTGCTGTGATTTGGGGAGCCGTGGTTTTATGTTTTTTGGATACAATCCGGGTTAGCACCCGAACATCCCTTTCAGGAAGCTTCCTCTTGCGTCCACCATTAATCCTGTTGGATGTGGTTTGTCCTTCTTGGTGGTATGCTGATATTACCCTCGATACCGTGGCTCTTGATTCATCACAAAGACTTGCTGTCTTGGTCACAGATGCGCCTGCGAGACGTGCACGAACAATTGGTCCTCTTTTGAACTCTGGTATGTCACCCATAATGCTGTGTGCATTGCAATATTTTGAGCAAAACTGTGCTCTTACCATGCTAATTGGACCTTCACAGTCTGCTCTTATTGGTTCAATGTGCAATTAATGAAGATTGGCCACCAGGCTGGTCCAATTTAGCCATGAAACCTCCCACACTAAAATGAGAGGTGTTTCAGTTTCATTGTCCAACCCCTGTATATCTGAGGACAGTTGACTGTGACGGCTAACTTAATAACAGGAAAACAACTGTTGTTAAAGGGAGGCATTGTGTCATGTGAGCAGCCTTCTTTATTCCACTATTTGAAGAGGTTTTTGAACATAGCACTTGGGGATTTGTAGTCCTTTATCAGGCTAGACAACACAGACATTAAGCAAAAAAAGTCAAGACACAAAAAGGCAATATAGGTCAAAATAATAAGCAATAATGTATTTTTTCCACACACATAAATAAAAGTAAGTGACTGTTTTCAAAGTCTATAGCAATAAAATACAATGAAGGTCTTGAAATCACAAAATGTCGTTTCATGATACTTTTTAAATGAGGTGCGGGTCTTGTTAGCTTAGCGACTATGCTAAGATGGCTGAAAGCTGAAATGTTCTACGACACTCCAATAACTTTAGAGACAAACTGATGCATATATATTTCAATACATTGGAAGGCTTTTCTTTTCTTTAAAAAAAATTCTCTGTAGTCATGCAGCTTCATCCGTCTAATCTTGAAGCTAAGTTTAGCCATGTTAATCTAGCTTTAGCTCTGGTAGGACCTGACTTTATGATAGTCACAAGTAAAATTTCATCTTCTTTCCTTATGTCAAGCTGTCAGCTTGCACATTATCATTGGCTGTCCTGTCTTATCAGAACAATTGCAGTTTTTCAAGGCTATATTTGTGTGTTGTACACAATACACGGTTGATAAGCAGCTGATGTGACTGACTGTAAATACTCTGTAATATGAAATCAGACAGCTGAATTGGCCTCACAATCATGGAGCAACTTCAGAATTTTTTTCTTTATTTTATGTTTATAAGTTTGCTTTTTAAATGCAATGTAAAAACATAATAGAGTGGACTCTATTCAGTCATTTGAAGAGGGAAAGCAGAATTTACTGACTGAATTTGAATGTCATAGTAGTATCAGGGCTGCACAGTGACCCCCCTACCTCCACACTTTCTTATCATTGATTTTAGCATTTCAAGATATCAGATATCATTCAATGGCTGTAATGACATGCATGCATTTGGGAAACCACAAGGTTCAGTGGTTATTATCATTAGTAGGGTGTTCAAAAACTCTGTCCTTTTTAACCTAAAAAAACATCTGAACCCATGTAAGCAATGTCTTTTAATGTGTGAAATAATAAATTAAAATACATTTTACCTCACTGAATCACGGATTGTACGTATAAAGTCTGTATAACCCACTTGGAATTTTTGCTCCTCCTCAAATAACACATTTTTGAAAGAAAATAAAGAATAAATCTAACTATGATTGATAATATATTTAATATCGGTACATTTACTTTATATTAGTGGGTCTGTCTGCTCCAGGGGGGTCAGTTTCACATGTGACAGCTGAGTGAACAATGACTAAAAACTCTTTTGATATGGTGTTTCTTGAGATAAAGTTGGCCTGACACCAGTAAATGTGAGCCCTGAGTGGCATTGCAATTGAAAGGCACTTCTGCATCACAAAGGTAATTCCAAATTAAGAAATATCCTCTGCGTGAGGAAGGAAAAAAATAGTAAAGGATTGACCACCTTAAAAAATTCACATCCATGAAAGCCAGGACCAAGGTTTCCGAGCAGGAATTTCCATTTGAATCAACGGATAGCTTTTACTTAATGTTTAAGCAAATCAAATTTTGATACCATTATTGAGAGTATGTACAAGATTAAATACATTAATCCATATAGATGCCAATCCTAAAATCAACTAAATCTAAGGGACTCCCAGCAAAGATGTTAAACCCGGACATTGTTTCCACAGCCTGAAAGGGGTCTTCGTATCAGGCAATTAGTTTGAATCTTGTGGCTAATCTATGGATCTTGAATTTGAACCTGTTAGTTGACTTATGAAAAATATGTATAATAGTTTGAATCCTGAAAGACGGAATGATTCGCACCTATCTGATTGATCAGATAAGGAACTAAAGAATCAGATAAAGAAAATATTACTCGAAGAATCCAAATCCAGCACTCCCCGGTGAACAAGTAAAGGAAAGTTATTTTGCTGCCCTTTGTCCAGGTACAGTGAAGGGGACAAACGAAGGCTTCAGGGCTTGGAACATTTATTGTGCGAGAGCTGACACATAACCAGGGGAATATGGGTGTTCCCCTTCCCAGAGGTTTAAGATATCAGGACAGTGCGTGATGTGGTGTGGTGGACCATTGTCACAAGTAGGGTGGGGGAATCCGAAAATCACAGGAAGGACCTCGAGGACTAATAGAAGGTGAGCGATACACGACGAGTCTGCAGTTTTTCCTGGCATGGCAAATACAGACAGGACGATATGCGGGGGAAATATGAAGTGAGTAAACTTATCTGCTTCTATTTGCGGTTAAAGTAGTAACAGGCTTGTGCAACTTCTTTAATTTACTAATGATTTTGGCTTAAGCGTTCAATAACCACAAATAATGTTAACCTAAAACACATTTTTGGGATATAACATGAATTATATATGGTAAAAAAAACAACTATATGGTATTGTTCCTCAAAGTATTATTCCAATTCCAATTCTTGTCATTTGTTTTGCTAGTGTAACTCTTGTTTGTAATACTTGGCCTGCAGTATGTCAATTTAGTATTCTTTTAAAAATGCTTGTATATTGATGACTGTTCCCCTGATTTGATTGTTGAATATGATGTGAATCTGATGTGTTTGCTTTTAATGTGTTTGAATGTGTTTGCCTCACAGACATAGCCTCAGAATATTTAGGTATAATCACACCCATTGACAGGTGGGATAGGCTCCAGCCCATTTGAGCATATGAAGTGGATGGATGGATGGATGGATGGATGGATGGATGGATGGACAGAAAAATCTAAGAAAAAAACAGGTTACAAAAGGTTCCAACAGAATTACAGTACAGTATTACAGTAGTCAGTTAATTGTCAAAACAATGGCTAGTATAAAAATATAATTAAAGTTTCAATAAAAGAAAACAAAATTATTAGTGTGTGTGGTTGTTTGTCTTTGTATGGCCCTGCGATCGACTGGCGATCTGTCCAGGGTGCAACCCACCTCATGAATACTGAACTGATGTATACTTTTTTGTACCTAGTTATTCCCATTCAAGCTCATAAGAGGCAGGGAACCACTTGAAAGGTAGTAAACCAAACCAGTGACTTAAAATAACTAGATACTGAACCGGGCAGAAAATAAACTTTAACAAGAGAATCTAATAAAGATGGCTGAAATTTAAAACTTAAAACATAAAACTGAAATCACGGAAATGAAGAAAATCATAAAAAAAATAAAGAAACTTGTAGCGCTAGGTAAAAAACAAAGTAATATTGATAGAAAAATAAATAAATATGTATAATATAAGAGAGAAAGAGACCAAAGGGTTAGTTAAATTAGCTGGAACAGTTAAGTAATTACTAACTAACTAACTAACTAACTAACTAACTAACTAACTAACTTTAGAAAATAAATAAGGATTAAACAGCCATTATTCTATCTGTTGATAAGTTAGGTTAGGTTATTCAAATTGAAGCAATAGAACCAAAGTTTAAAGTTTGTTCAAAGTTTAGCATTATGCAAGCTAATGCATTTATACCTGAAACTTAGATATGACAAGATATTCTCAAGTATGACAAGATATTACTGAAATTGTCATTTTCATTGTAACGCTAAAAGGCAACTTTAAATGTAGATAAGCTTTGTGATGAAACAGTAAAACATAAAAAAGCTGCTTTAAAACAAGATTTTTTTCAACTACATTGTTATGGACATTCCTTAATGTTTAATATCCTGATTTGCGATTGTTAATACTGATATCGACACACAAGACGACACCTGCAATATTATTTACCGCCTTATATTTGCACAGCCTCAGGTAGATCTGATTTAATTTAGAGTAGCTGTTCCCATATTGATGTAACTGGAGTCTTGTCAGTTACTGTTGATCCATAACCTTCTCCTGAGACACAGACAATAGTATCACACAGCTGAAGGGACGATTAGCATTAAGTTGGTAACATAATCAGAGCAAACAGAGATTGTTGTCATCATTCTCATTATACAATTTTACATCTTTCTTGGTTTTCCATAAAAATAGTAAATTACACAATATTCTTAAGGGTCTATGTTTCACCCCTGAATGGTGTGGTGTAAAATATGTAATATATATAAGTATATATACAGTACATATATATATATATATATATATATATATATATATATATATATATATATATATATATGTGTGTGTGTGTGAAAGATCAATGACTAGAAACTTTGGAACAATTTAAACTCTCCCTTTGCAAGATGATAAATGTTGTGAAGGTCTACAGAACGAAAATATCTTATTGGATGTTGCACATATCTAATTAGCCTCTGTCACATTTAAAAGATTAAACTGATGATCTACCAAAGTTGGGTGGCAAAATACTTCGTAACATTGTTCCTTTCTAGAAATAAACTCAAACTATAGTCCAGAAGATTACCATTCACATTTTCCCACTGTTTTGCTTTGCATGTGCATTTGTGCAGAGTTGTGATAAAAGGGGGTTTATCTGTGTTACGCTAACGGTAACAATGCTATTGTCGGGCTAAAAGTAGGCTGAGTAAACACTACAAACGAAAGACACTCTTTGCAGTTAGGTCAAATCAAAGACTGTGCTTTGTCTTCTTAAGACTGGGGCGAGATGACATTTCAGATTCCACGCAAAACAATTCTCTGAATTCAGACCATTGCATATTCTTGTGGTTATCAGGTGAAATTTCCATTTTTACAGTCATCACAAATTAGATTAAACTGTTAGCCTGATTCTTTAGTTGGAATCCTGACAATAAACCCGAGTAGATCCAAAGTACAAATACAACATTTATTGGTCACAGGTAAACTACATCAGCACTGGGCTTTCACAGACAAAGCTCCCTGAGGATCTCAATCGGCAAGGGCCTCGAAACTGGGTGTAATGCATATTGGTCTTCTGGGCTGGGACTGCCCCTTAGAAAAGGAGGACTGGACCCAACCTAATGTTACTGGCCAGTTACCTCTAACTTAAACAGGCCAGGTCCTAATTCATGCAGATGGCATTGGAATGTGATATGAAAGTGTGTGTGTGGATGTTGACCTTAAAGACGTGTATCTACAGCAGCAAAGAAAGAAAGAGAATCTGTGGACACAGCCTTAAAGTTATCACAAGAGTATTGTTCAAAAGAAATAAGACAATCAGTGATTTATAGGGATTATGTTATAGCATACAATGCTAAAGTGAGTAACTATAGCCCATTATAACAAAACTGTATGAATATTAGCTGGTTTCATGCTCTCTTTTCAGTTTGTTCACAATAGTTTTGTGCATGTGTTGATAGATTATTCCAAATAATGATAAATATTCTTTCCTTTTTTTGTCTTTACAGGTTTCCCTTGTTGTGGTTGTCAAGTCTGATTGTAATGCTGGGATGTTGCTCTGCAGGTATCTGACTGTCAATGAAACGTACCTGTGTTTAGGTGACCTGAAAATGACAATCAAATCTATCAAGCTTAATGACCTCATGCAGAATAATTTCATTTGGTGGAATATTTCTAAAGTTCTGATTTTGTGTTGTTTTTCCCTACGTTTTTTTTTTCAGTTGTTGTTGACGTGAAGGAGTGCGAGGCAGCAGGCAGCAGATGCCACCCACACGCTGACTGTCTGTGGGTCAGAGGCAACCACACCTGTGCATGCCGTATGGGCTACCAAGGAGATGGTCTGCTGTGCAGTGACCTCGATGAATGTCTGAGTCGCCTGTACAGCTGTCACCCAAAGGCCCAGTGCAACAACACCCTCGGCAGCTACAGCTGTGTTTGCCTCGACGGGTATGTTGGAGATGGCACCAGTTGCGAGGATATTGACGAGTGTCAAAAAGAAAACGGAGGCTGCCATCCCAATGCTCTGTGCACCAATTTCGACGGAGGACGACGTTGTCAGTGTAAAATCGGCTTTACGGGAAACGGATTCCAGTGTATGGATATAAATGAGTGCACGAACCAACGGATCTGCCACTGGAACGCAACTTGCACCAACAATCCTGGATCTTATGTGTGCACTTGTAACTCTGGGTACAAGGGGAATGGGAACTACTTGTGTCTTGACATTGATGAATGCTCCGAAACGCCACGGGTGTGTTCTTCCTCAGTTGGTTACAGAGGCTGTTTAAATCTGCCCGGCTCCTACCGCTGCATATGTAGCAATGGCTTTGAAAGTAACGGACAGAACTGTGTAGATATCAATGAATGCACAAACAACATATGCAGCCCATTTGCAGAATGTAGAAATATAATTGGCTCATATGACTGTAGCTGCAAAAGTGGGTTTGTTGGAAACGGGCTGAGGTGTGCAGATATAAATGAATGCGCAGAAAACAACGAATGCCACCCCAGTGCTGCGTGCATCAACAGGCTGGGCAGCTATGAGTGCTCCTGTCTGGTCGGTTTTCTTGGAGATGGCCGACTGTGCGAAGACATTGATGAGTGTGCGCAACCTGACATCTGTCCATCTACCACTACGTGTGTCAACACCGGTGGGTCATATTACTGCGACTGTGGGAGTGGGTTCATCTTTAACAATACCGAGTGCAATGACCTCAATGAGTGTGAGACGGGGCGCTGCAGTCCTGACGCCGCCTGCACAAATTCGCCCGGTTCCTTTTCTTGCCAGTGCCTGACAGGCTACAGGGGAGATGGTTTCACCTGTCAGGACATAAATGAATGCTCCTTGGCTTCACGGTGCCACTCCAATGCCCGTTGCGTTAACCTTCCCGGCTCCTACCAATGCACTTGCAATGTGGGTTATTCTGGAGACGGGGAAACCCAGTGCGATGACATAAACGAGTGTCTGGTGGACAATGGAGGCTGCAGAAACAAAGCAACCTGTGTCAACAATCGAGGTTCTTTCTCGTGCCTGTGCCCACCCGGTTTCAACTTGATCAATCGGACTCTTTGCCAAGACATAAATGAGTGTGAGGAATTAAGAAATCCATGTGGAGTGAACGAAGAGTGTAAAAACATTGATGGGTCTTATGAGTGTCCCTGCCAGGTCGGGTACTATCGTCCTGCCAGCAACATGGGCTGCGTTGACATGGATGAGTGTAAAGAAAACCCCTGCCATGTCAACGCCACGTGTCTGAACACCATCGGGTCACACACTTGCACCTGCAAGCGAGGCTTTACCGGAAACGGCACTCGATGTGCAGATGTAGATGAGTGTGCCGCGAAGGGAACATGCCACGCAAGAGCCGTATGCAGCAACTTTATAGGGACGTTCTTCTGCTCTTGTCAGCGAGGTTTTAGAGGCGATGGCTTTTCCTGCCAGGATGTGGATGAGTGCTCATACTCTAACACCACCTGCCCTGCTTTTTCAAAGTGTGTCAACTCGCCTGGTGCTCATGTTTGCTCGTGTTTAAACGGCACAGTGGCTTTGAATGACACCTGCGTGCCACCTCCACTTCTGTGTGATCCTCCATGCCATAGTAGGGGCCTTTGCCACCACTCAGCAGCTGGATACCAATGTGTGTGTGACCTGGGTTACGTAGGTGATGGACTAACTTGTTCTGACGTAGATGAGTGCCAGATGGAAAATGCCTGTCCTGAAAATGACACCGCTTGTGTGAATGTTCCTGGATCATTTTCCTGTGTCTGCAAACAAGGATTCACCCTGAATGGAACGCATTGTGTCGGTAATGCAAACTATTAATTAAAAATAAATTCACAGCATATTCAAATGAAAAATTTGAAGCATGAAATGATATGCAACCATTAAACAATAACAGGCTGAATTTGAATAATTAGTTTTTGGCCAGATAAATATTTTCATAATGTTTTGGACTGAACTACAGCATACTGTATTCTTATGTGGGCAGACCTAAACCTTGGTAGAAGCCCTTTTATTTCCTGTCCTGACATGCTTGCCAGTTATTAGTTATGTTGTGATAATATAATCAACCATAATTATGTTAGATTTTTAACTTCTCTGTCAATTTTCTGCCATCCTGTCTCTGTTCAGCCAAAACACACACAAAAACACTGAGTTTCAATTGAACTAACAAATGATTTTATGGAAAAAGTCCTGGAATTGTGTTTTTTTTACAGCACAAATAATATGAATAGTTCCTTCTCAGTGCTGAATTAGAGCCAGACTTAAACAAACTAATCTATTAAAACTAACTTCTTCTGATGACAAACCTCATGGTTGTAACTACCTCATCCCTAATTCTCCATATTTGTCTATTACATTCCCAGATGTGGACGAGTGTGACACTGGGCAGCACGAATGCAGTGAGTTTGCCCAGTGCGTTAACATGAAGGGTAACCATTCCTGCTTCTGTTTAAGCGGTTTCACGGGTGATGGGAAAAATTGCTCTGGTGAGTGTTACTTCGTCCTTCTAATCATTGATTTCACAAGTTGCAATTTGTTTCTCCACCAAGTGGACTTCTGTATGAGTTTTCTTCTAACACGGTTTGGGGCTCATTCCCTTACACTGTCCCATTTTGGATGAATTATAGACTTTGATGAATGCCAAGCCCAAAACGGAGGGTGCCACCCAGTTTCCAGCTGCATAAACATGCCCGGATCTTTCTCCTGTGTCTGCCCAAGCGGCATGGAGGGTGACGGCTTTGACTGCCAAGATGTAGACGAATGCGAGCAGAACTCTTCCCTGCCACACAACTGTAGCGTCCACGCTTTGTGTCTGAACTCTAATGGGTCCTACTCCTGTCAGTGCAAGGATGGATACCAGGGGGACGGTTTTGTCTGCAGTGACGTGGATGAATGTGAACTACCCGCAGCTTGCAGCCGAAACATGACGTGCAGCAACGTTCCTGGTTCCTACAGCTGCCACTGTATGTTGGGAAGGGTATATGAGGAGGGCACATGTGTGAGTGAAGACACCTGCGTAAATGCGAGTAGCAGTTGTCACCCTCTCGCGGAGTGCCACCCACGCCAGGGTTCGTTCTACTGTGGATGCACGGATGGTTACGAAGGAAATGGCACTGACTGCTGGGATGTGGACGAATGCGCCCAATCACAAGATAAAGTCTGTTCTGCTTTCTCCTACTGCCTAAACACAAATGGCTCTTACATCTGCAACTGTTGGGAAGGTTTTCAAGACAATGGGACTCTCTGTCAAGACATTGATGAGTGTGGGACCGGAAATTTCACCTGCCCTGAAAACAGTTCCTGCACTAATCTAGACGGGGGGTATGAATGTATCTGTGAGCCGGGGTTTGAAGGCAACAGCTCCCTGTGTATGGACATTGATGAGTGCTCCCTGGGCCTCATCCAGTGTTCTAATTTTTCCAGCTGTATCAACACAGTTGGCTCTGCCATTTGTGAGTGTTGGGAAGGTTACCAATTTAATAGCATTGACTGTGAGGATATCAATGAATGCCTTGATAACTCTACCTGTCCTGAGCATAGCAGATGTGTGAATGCCAATGGAGACTACCAGTGTATTTGTGACACAGGGTTTTCAAACGTCAGTGACTTGTGTGTGGATATCGATGAATGCATTGACAAGGAGCTGGGGGAGCTCTGCACAAATGGGACATGTATGAATGCTGTTGGCTCATATTACTGTGAATGTGACACGGGATTCTGGAATAACAGGACACAGTGTGAAGACATAGACGAATGCTCAAACTCCCACAACTCTTCAGTGTGCCAGCCGAATTCCACGTGTGTGAATATCGTGGGGTCATACGATTGCCTTTGCAATGCAGGCTTTTTTCTAAATGGTACAGAGTGTCTGGATGTAGATGAGTGTGATAACCCAGATGCCAAACTTTGCCAAAAGCATTCAATATGTTACAACACAGTAGGGTCTTTTATCTGTCTGTGCTCTTCTGGTTACGAACCCATCAACTCGTACTGTGAGGATATTGACGAATGTGAGTACAACACCACCTGCCGCTATGACCAGGTGTGTACAAACCTGCCCGGAGCGTACAACTGTTCTTGCCCAAAGGGGTACCATGAAGAGCAGGGGGCTTGCGTTGATATCAATGAATGTGAGAGTTCTCCTTGCCACCACCTGGCACGGTGCTGGAACACACTTGGTTCCTTTTCATGCCACTGCCAACTTGGCTTTGGTGGAAACGGCTCCTGGTGCGAAGATGTTGATGAGTGCTTCGCCCTGACCAATCCCTGCCACCCTCTGGCCCAATGTCACAACACTCCAGGATCATTTGTGTGTGTGTGTAGGCCAGGATTCATGAGTGTTGGGTCAATTTGCGTAGACATTGATGAATGCCAGCAGGGCAGGAGGCATTGTCACTCTTCTGCTACCTGCATCAACCATGTGGGAGGTTTCAAATGCTCATGCAATCGTGGATGGAAACCTTCTGAAGATAACGGTCATGGAAAAGATGGATGCGTTGACCTGGATGAGTGTGTGTCTCCCACACGATGTCCCCAGCATTCATCGTGCATTAACCTACAAGGGACTTATGCCTGTTCGTGTCCAGAAAACAACACAGTGTGCAGAATTTTATCTCAAACGGGTTAGCAATACTTGTTACACTATTTATTACCTGTTCTACTTTTTACCTAATCACTACACCTGTTGTCTGTGTGTATCTAATTTCCTATTCACCATTTTTTTGTTTCGCATTTTTCAAAGAAATCTAGATTTAATTATGTTCAAAACAGAATATGTGGGAGAAACAAGTCACCTTTTCAGTTTTGGCACAGTGAATAGGGCAAAATGTTGACTATATGCATAAATGCACACCTTTATACCCATTGTATTTCTACTTCTCATCATGATGCTGACATTTCAGTCATGCTAATGTCCAGCTAAAGTAATGGCTGATGTAGAAGATTAACACACGGGTTACTTTTTAGGTCGTTTAGTGGTTGGTTTGTCATTTTCAGTTTGCAATCTATTACTTACAAGGGTTATTTGCCAGTGGCCACATGGGTGGCTGGATTTCCCAAGAACAATGGCATCCACTGTTTTCTTAAAGGTCTTGACTTTGCATTTTGTCCCCTACGATACCACAATGAGGAAAGCAAGCAGTGTTTTATTAAATAGTTTAATCTTGGATAAAGATTTTGAAAAAAACTGAAGAAAATATAGTTTTCATAATTTGAGCACCTGTGAGATTTAATCAAGCTACATGTAGATTTAAGATGTTTTTGAGCCTCACTGTTTCGGTGGTTAATTGAGAAATTCAAGCTCTTTCTTTTGTCACGGTTTTCCCCATATACAAATATCTCAAATGATGTAATGATTATCTCTGTGAAATGATTAACGTTGAGTGCACAGAACAGAGCGCTACACAATGCATTTTGTGTTTGAGAACAGGGTTGAGACAGCATATGTAACAAACAATGAAAGTAACTTTGTAAACAGTACTCATAGTAACAGTTTACTTATTTGCAAAAGTATTTAAATTGTTACTTTACAGACAGATTGCAATTTAACTAAGTAGTGTGTCTAATGATAAAATTGTCCGAATGGCATTGATAGTTTATAACTGCTTGTCTGTGCTCCAAAAACACCCCCACAGAAAGCACTCTCTACCCATTTGGAGCAGAGGCTGGAGACAAAGATGTTGTAATAGACACAGAAGATGGCAATTCTCCATACATCACTCCACCCGTGGGCTTTCCGTTCATGGGGAAAATGTACAACCGGATCTATGTGAGTTTCTAAGCTGAATCTAAGAAGAGCTGCCTGACTTTAAAGAGATGAATATCACTTTCATTGCAGAATTTCTAATGTAGTCAAGTCAAATTTATACATTGCTATTTTATATTAATAGCATGGGAGAAGAACCTTTGTATTTCGACAGAGATTCATCATCTAACAATATCCAAAAAAGACTTACTATACCATCCTTGATTCACAGTGAAAAATAATGACAATGATTTATTATTAATATTAATTTTGTATATAGATATATATGTGTGTGTTTACCAGAGCAATTTTGTACTGTAGGTGTTTTTAAAGTCTAATAGTCTCTCTTTCTTTCTTTTCTCAGTTTTCTGATAATGGCCTTGTCCATTTTCAATCTGTAGCTGAGAATGAGCAGTATCTGCTCCCGTCTCCTTCCTCTAGCGGTTTTCCTGATGACATGAATCTGGCACTGTTGGCCGTCTTCTGGGATGATGCCGACCTCACCCAAGGGAATGGCAAGCTTCATTATCAGGTTTGATGTAATTCAGGGTCACATCCACTGTCAAAGTGACTTTTGAGTTTATTTGTTGTCATTAATATGTTAAGATGACACAGAAGACTTTATCTCGAAAACATAGAGTAAACACTTTGCTGTTTATTAATCGGCCTACTGTCATTGCAATCACTTAGGAATACCATAGATTGGATGTGTCAGACGTTTACTCCCAGATAGTGTTCAATCGCACTGCAGAAGAAGTGACAAAGTTCGCCAGCTTGAGAAGAAAACCAGCTTTTTCTCCCACGTGGATCCTCAAGATCACATGGGACCACGTCATGCCCGTCTGCTACCAGAGGGTCAACTTCTCAGAGGTATTAATTTTTTTTTTTTTCAAACATTTAAACAGATTGTTTTATTTCAACATGTAAAAATATGCTGCATGGAAATATCCCAAGGTCTTTTATGATGTTATTTTATCCTGAAAGGGAGTGGCACAGTGTTTTTCACTTCTAAAAAAAAATCTCAGATAAACTTTTGACCACCAGTTCAACCACCACTCACTTCTGTATTTTGTTATCATTTTGATTTCTTTCAACAACAACTCTTTTAAGATATCATTTAAAAAAAGGTCAAAGTCCTCTTAAAATATGACTGTCACTAGACTTAAGCATTTTTAAGAATATTCAACGATCTTGGGCTCTAAATATTTGTGAGATCTCTGATAATTTGAAAGCTTTGATGGAGATGGGAACGTCATTGTTTGCTTCTATGCTTGTCCTACATACATTGCCAAGTGCAAGGTGAGCCTTTTACTTTATAAGGTGTCATGACTCCTGAGCAGACGTGTCATTTGCTTAGCTTTGGTGCCACCTTGGGGTCACTTTAATATTGAGAGTAGTGATATCTGCTGCCACCCATGTTCTCCTTGAAGCACCAGTCTTTTCTGTCTTACAGCTCTTGAATTTTCTTGTGCATTAAGACAAAACAGTTTATAGAAAGGCTTAGTTATTCATATTATTTATATCATTCATTAAGGCCAGATGTTTGGCTAAGTTCTTTATTAAATGTAACAACAGTTTTTTATTGGATTTCAATGCATTATATTCATACTAGAGTTTTTTTATGTGATTTTTTTCCCCAGACTAATACTTTCCAGTGTATTCTGACTACGGATGGAGAACGGTCCTTTGCCCTTCTGAGGTTTGGGGAAATGCGCTGGGGCCCCGGCTTGAGGCAGTACCATGATGCTCTAATTGGGTACACGGATGGAAAATCTTCTGTAAAGGAGACCACTGATCCCCCAGAAAACCTTTTCGGGCCAGGGGGCAGATACAGGCCTCAGGAAAAAACAGGAACTCTGGGGAAATTAGGCCAGCTGGTGTACGATTTGTCGGGCCCCGTCGGGTCGGACGTTGATCCCGGGCTAAAGTGCCAGGCCTGGGCGATGAGGGAACCCCACCCCGCCGAGTGGATGATGACCCAGTCTTCCTGCCCCTGCACACGCACACAGGCCCTGGAGGACCTGTCGTTCCTGCAGGACGTCACCGATCCGGGTCCCACGGCGACGAAGCTGAGGGGTCAGCGGTGGGGGGATTCTGCGGGGCATGTCTTCAGATCGCTCCTGTCCAACGGGCACGGAGCAGGGAAGAGGTGTGTGTACGAACCGGACGGACCCCTGGTGGCTGGGTACAACGAACGCTACTACTCCGGTCGCACCGTCCAGGAACACATTGGTAATACATACATACCTGAGGCTTTTATTTCTATTCTCCTTTTAAAATTTGACTTTTTGAACTGGTGCAATGGGTTACATTTAGTAGGAATCAAACCTTGGTAGCTATTGTTACACGAGTGCCTTTCTGACCTCTAGTCCACCCTGTCAAAGCTCTGCATTTTTAAGTAAGCGGTGCATTAAACTCCCCTCTGCAGATGAAGATCTCCTGCCGTTTCAGTGGTGCTGTATCGAGTCTCCTTTGTGCCAGCTTTACCTCAGCAAGAGGCCCATGGACCGCTGCCAAGGCTACAGCTGGCTCAGCCCAGATGGCTCTCTGCTATCCAAGAAGGCAACTCAGGGCACCGGTGAGGCATCTGCATCTGATTTTACACGACTACAGCTAACGGAATAACACCTATAGTAGCACCCAGAGGCAATGCTCATTGCGTTGTAAGTAAAACTGTCTAAGAATGATCATTTTAAAAGGAACACTATCTATTCGCATGCAGCAATGGTGTATGGCAGCCTCCATTTCATCACCTTTGATGGGACGGAGTACTCCTTCAAGGCCCTGGGAGAGTTTGTGATTTTGCGTCTCTCATCTGCCTCCGGCTCCAATATCTTCACCCTTCAAGGACAGATTGACAAGCTACACTCAGACACAAGGGGAATCATTGAAGTCCCAGTAGTGGCGCGCATGGCTGCTTTCCACCAAGGCATTGGCAAGGTCAGGAAGCATGAGAGTAGAGTTTGCTACAGGGACATTACATTATTCTAAATATTCCAAGTTTATTTACTTGTTTAGTAAAATATCTAAAAAATATTAAAAAATATTTTAAAAGTCTAATATTTAAAAAAAATGCATTATTTTTTGTAATATATATATATATTTTGATGTTACAAATCACATTTTATGTACTGAGCATGTGTCCACTTTTGTTAAACGGTTGTTCCAGAAGAACCGTTCTCGGATATTCATCCTTGGCAATAACTCCGATAATCATGCCTTATTTTCAGATCGAATGGAGGTGTTCAGAGACAAGTGGTGGACTGCAGATTTATGTGGATGACGCTGAGGTTGCAGTCCGAGTCGGTAATGGCCATCAAACACCCATTTGATGCACACACTGTCAAAGATTGTGTGTTAACTGTTACAAAGCCTTTTATATGAGAAGATTCCACCGTAAACAATTGTGTGATGAAGACCTCAAAGCTGCATTTAAACGGTTCTCTTAGCTGTCACATGTACATCCTTGCAGGTGTTGTGTTCATGGGCAGGAGGGACTTTGCCGTGCGCTGTGAATCGGTGAGCCGCTGTGCCGCCGTGTACGCCGGCGGCGTCCATGTGGTGGTGTGGCGAACCGTTGGCTGCAATCAGTTGGCGGGCATGGTCGAGGTTCCTCAGACCTTTTACAATCGCACGGTGGGACTCATGGGTCTCTGGAGCACCAGCGGCGCCGACGACTTCCTCATGTCGGACGGAAGGGTCCTCCCATCCGAAGGCCTCAACCCCCCCGCCGAGGAGCGGCTGCATCTCTTCGGCATGTCCTGTGAGTGGATCCGATGATGGGCCTGAGCTTAAAGGTTCAACTAAAGATCAAATTATTCATTCTTTAACCCTTTTAGACCACAACTAAATCCAGGTGATAATTTTTCAAGAGAGTAAAACCCTCTTTCAATTCGAATGGTTACATATCAGGACAAAAACAAACCAAAAAACAACTGTTTCCCAGTGAGAAGTTTAAAATGAAGTAAATATTTGTTTCCAGGGGCGGTCCCAGGACCAGAGAGCCTGTTGTTCTCTGCGCCTCCGCGGGTTCCACTGGCATCCGCGTCCACCCAGGTCCTGCTGGAGGGCTTCAGTCCTGCTGAGGTGGAGGAGAAGAAGAGAATCTGCCAAGGCGACATGCAGTGCGTCCACGACACGCTCGCGTCCGGCATCTCCGACCTGGGTCAGCAGACCCTGGGCGCCAAGACGAAATTCCAAAATCTGGCTGTGGTTTTCGGTAAACAACCTCCCCTGAGATCTTTTTTCTGCCCCCATCCCTGGCCTGTGCTGATATTAAGCGGATTGTTTTGCGGTTCGGCAGGTAACGCGCCTCCATTAGTGACGGGCCCCTCGGCGATCCACTGTGAGGTCGGCTCTCAGGTCAACGTTCAGATTGTTGCTCAAGACCCCAACGATGACCCCGTCACCTACTCGTTGCTTTTGCCCCGGCCTCCGGGGGCTTCTGTTGGCAGTGGTGAGACACACACACAATCACACACACGCTCCCACAGAGGCACGAACATTATCCTGCCAAACAGCCGGCCATTACTGTTACAGATGACGTTACTGTTGACATTTGTTAGTGGGATGCTGTTGTCAGCAGAGCCGTCTTTTGGCAGATGGGATATTTAAGGGGCTGAGTCAGGGGATTGGTCACACGGAGGAGCGCGCAAAGGCACAAAACATCAGAAAACGGTACAGTTAACTGTCCTTTCCAGGTGACGGCTACCTGACATGGACGCCATTCAGCACACAGCCTGTCCAGCTCACCATCAAGGTGAGCGATAAACTCACCAGCTCCCTGTTCACCCCCATGCTGCGCGTCTGCAACTGCCTCAACGGAGGAACCTGCCTGTACGACAGCGTTGTAGAAAACCACCTGCAGGGAAAGTTCCAGGTACATCACTTTATGTCTTTTTGAACAACGGCAATGGCTCGAATCAAATTTTTTTACGTTGAAAGTTTATGAAAAAACAATGATTTGTCCATCCCGGTGAAGTTGTGGGTTAGCAGATCAGCTTAGATTATACTTAATATCTAAGACAAGTTTTAACTGAACAGGCCAGGGTTCAACTCCAAGAGCAGAATGAATCGCCATAAAAAATGTATCCAAAATAATCTAAAAAAAACAATTAAAAGCAGAGTTCTGACACACAGAGGACAGAAAGCGCTGAAAATGTAAATAGAAACATTTAGTCTGATAGGATTTTATGCCGACTTTGAAACATGAGTCAGGCTGATTTGTTATGTTTACAGAAAACCCAATGATCCAACCATTCTGCTCCATACAAATATCATAACCAAAATATGCTAATAAAATGCAAAATATGCCAATGTCGAATCGATTGGAAATCTGTAACTTTATCTTCAATATTGTGTACACTCACATATGTCTGCTTTCTTTTACATGTTCAAAATCAAACCACGATCACAAGGGATCAGTGTACAAAATATCTAAGTGTCTGCACATGCTTTAAATGTCAGAGCTCCTTTTACTTAACAAAAGATCTTAAGTCTGTGTTTCCGCTTTACTCCCCAGGTGGTGGGCTGCCTGTGCCCAAACGGATACAGCGGAAAGTTCTGCGGGAACACGACAGACCTTTGCCGAGGAAAACCTTGTTTCCGAGGGGTGACGTGCCAGTCAAATTCAAATTCGAAACTCGGCCAGTTCACCTGTGGAGAATGTCCCCTCAATACAGTCTCCAGCGGCAAGGAGGGATACAAATGCTTCGAACGAGGTCTGTGGGACGTGACCTTTGTTATTAAATGTGCTCCAACATGATCAGATTTCTACCTCGAATGACACAACCGTCCTCTTGTTTCTCTGCGAAACCCCTCAGACATGTGCCGGCCTCCTTTCCCCTTCCCCTGCCACAAAGACGCAGACTGCTACAGCACCAAACTGAACTACACGTGCACGTGTAAGCCCGGGTTCACGGGAGACGGCCACAACTGCACAGGTACTGGGCGTCCGGCACTTTGGGACGAACGGATGAATGTGTGTGAGAGCCGGTCTGCACAATCATTGTCTGCGTTGTAGATACCGACGAGTGCGCGGCCCTCATGCCCTGTGAAAACGCCAAATACGAGTGCAAGAACACACGCGGCTCCTTCGAATGCCTCTGTAGATACGAAGACATCGAGGACCTCAAAGGATGTGGTATGTACACACTTATGAATCCAAACGCATTTAGTTGGCAAAGTGCTTCTGTGGTTGAAGTCAAAGCAGAAATAGCAGCAAATGATACAAATAATGTCCTTTGAGCTTAGAGATATGTAATATGTGTTTGATGGGGGATGAAAATAGTCGGTTTGGTCGTTTTTAATCTAGAAATGAGTCTTCAAAATAGGCGTCTTAGCACAGAGACTGTTTTAAAAAGAATCTTTAGGCACTTTGTTACCAGCAACCAGTTGCTGAGAATAGCTCAGAATAATGTGAAGTGTGATCTTTTGGAAACTGGATAAATGGAAAGGAAAAGATTAGGTGACTAATGTGCCACTGTTATCCTGGACACAAAATAAATCCCGACAAAGGACCTGAGGACTGTTCACAGGAGCCTAATTAAAAGCGTGTCCGTAAAAACAAAGGTATGCCAAATCTCGTGGGGTTAAAATCAGTGACAACGGGTCTGACTGAGGGATGAATCCTCTCCAGAGGCCACACTTCAACACTAACAAAGGACCCAAAAACTAACGAACCTCTCAAATTGTACACTCTTGTAGATTTTCACCTTTTTTATTCTTTAAACTACAACTACTACAAACAGATCGTTTGAAAACGAAAGAAATAGACACCTTTTGTATCCAAATTCAGAGTAGGATGCCTCGACCATGAAAGTTGTGCTTCTCCAAATGTCTGAACATTAGCATTTTTTGGTGTAACTTCATTTTATTCTTATTAACTGCGCATCTTTTCCTGTAGGTGACTCCCCCAATCCTCCAGGTAAGAGTTCCCATATTGTTTCCACATTTAGCTTCACTGGCTTTGCCGAAGATTAGCCCAGTAAAAAGCGCTCACTGCAAAGCTGTTGCTGCTCCTCTCTCATCTGCAGGATACAACGTCTTCAACGTCTCCGTGGGCTGGAGGAACAACAGAGCCGATGGGCTCAAACAGGTGTGTGTGTGTGTGTGTGTGTGTGTGATTTGTGTGGATCTGTAGTGAAAACAGTCAGGACAAATTAACTGCAGAAGTGGGTGTTTTTTTTTGTCTTTTTTCCCCCAGCTGGATGACATCCTGAGTAAGGGTTTCAGAAATAAATTCTACAACATCAGCAAGTGGGAACGGGGAGAGGGATCCAAACCGGGTGTGGGCGAATATCGCGTGGGAGTGTCCACTGACACACCTCACTGGTACATCAGAGACTATCTGGCCAGAGTCAGCAGCCACTACGACATCAGGGATTTGGAAGTTGACGGTAAAACATTTTTAATCGATTTAGCTGTTTTAGTTTACCCCAGTGGGGAAATGACCGGGAAAGACCGTAAAAATGATTGCGCCAAACTTTTGAGTGCATATGATTACGGGCTCTCATACAGAACTTTCTTTTTCACGTGTCACCTGGAATATCTGGTGGATCTTATGTTGCATTTTTAAAGTGTACTATCTTAAGATTTCATCCATACAATCAGATCTGGATGAGTGTAAGTCCAAGGAGGCGGCGTGTGTGTACCCTGCCCTGTGCGCCAACACCTATGGGGGCTACCGGTGTGTTTGCAATGGCACGACGGATGTGAGTGAAAAGCAGTCCTGTGTAATAGGTAAGACCCAAAGAAAAATACAAATGAATAGAAATGATTATTGTAGCCAATGATAAGGCATTAAAAATAAATGTAGTAAATTCAAATGCACATCTAAACTTAACTTTTAAATCAAGTGTGATGATTTTTTCTTTTTACGATAAAACAAATGCCTTATTGATAGAGCCAGTTTGCAATAGGGTCAAAGCAATCCATAACAACCATGTCACTATCACACCATTTATTTTGTCCCCAATTTATTCTGTTTAAGAAATATTCTACAAAAAAACTTTTGAAATATATATACATATATAGATCAGCAAAAAATACTTTTTATTTGATGGTTATATTTCAGACAGAGGAAAAGAGACCAACTCAGAGGTGGACCTGGTCCTGGGTCTGGTTCTGGGCATCGGCATCCCCCTGCTCCTCCTGCTGCTTTTGGCCGCCCTGGCCTGCCTCTGCTGCCGCAAGAAGACCATCACCGGAGAGTCAGTAACACGTGCAGCACGGGATTTTTACACACATAAACCGGGCAGTCCACAATGAAGGATTTCAAATCTCTCAGAAATGAAAGTGAACAGCATTGTTCTTGGTCCTTCTTAAATCAGTCTGTCAATAAGGTAGAACATTACATAGATACTGTGCCCCAAAAATATATAAACTATGAAGACAGGGGTGATTAAAAGGTTGTTACTTATTATATTTGACGATACCTTTGTCACCTAAACAAGACCAGACAAAAAAAATTAAAAAAACGTCCAGTCATACTGCTCGTTTTTCAGTTAATGCAGAGGCATTCCATCACCCCCATCACATTCTTTATTTATTATCCACATGAACAAGTCCATACTGTATATACAAATTCGACACCCAGGGACACATGCCTTTAGTACCGTTTCATATAGAAACGTAGAGGTCTTCTTTATTTTAAGGTCTTATCATGCTCTTTAAATCATTTGTGAGTGGCTTTCAAAAAAGACGTGTCATTTTCTGGTCTGCTGTAAAAGCAGTTCGTTATTAACTTACATCTTTTACATCTATAAACCTGGTGTGCTTTCAAATATTTCATGACTGAGTTAAAAAAAGGTGGATCTGGTTCCTGTGAGCCAGATTCAGCAGGGTGACGCAGCATTCATCGGTGGCTCATCACCAAAACGCTGGATACTGCTGCAAAAAAAACGACCACTCGCACACCCGCGCGCACGCACACACGCACGCCGTCTAAACTGTATTTCATGGTTCGGTAGTCAAAGAGGTCTGGCCAGAGACAGTCCTCCACAGCAGCTTAGAGGCTGTAAATCCTGGCCGCTGTTCTGCTGCAGCAGCACCGTCTGTAACTCCTCAACCACACGAAGCAGAAACCATCCAGCTCTGGGGGGATTGGGGGGGAGCTATGAAAATGAACAGTGTTAATATTGAGAAATATGTATTCTTTTTTTTTTATCAAACCAAAATAGTGACGAGGCTTTCTCGTCCATCAGTGTAGCATGTTTGAAGAGTTAACGTGTAATAGAGTAAAATGGCAGAAAGAGCACTATCAGCAATGAAGAGCAGCTCCTCGGTTTATTTGAGCTAAATTGAACTCGTTTTAGCTTGGATTAGCGTAACACAGGATAGCTGGGGTTGAAAGTGCCGGAGCAAAGTAAGAAATTGCCCTACAAGGGGCCGTGAAGCCCATTTTCATTGTGCAAATCACATTTTATTTCAAAGGTTAAACCGTCTTAAAGCTGCAGCACTTACTTTGACAAGAGCAAGATTTGGAAGTCATTCATAGGATATCTACAATTCGTTTAACAAATGTGAAAATAATAAATGACCATTTGTCCTTAATTCACAGCTGTTTTATGAGGCAGAGTGAAAGTTCACTTTAGATAACACCTCCTATCCTAATGTATGTATAAATGATTCAATTCAGTTTTAAGTACATTGTGACAAATCAGAAAAAATGTCATCTCAGAGCGGTTTTTAAAAAGAAAGCAAAACCAAATGAATAAAGTATGGATACAGAAAGTAATTGTAGCAAGTAAAGCGTCCCTTTACATCGGAAGAAGCCCCTGTTTGAACCAGATTATCTGCCTCGAAATACAAGAACCACATACTCCTTAACAACAGGGCATAAGTTACCAAACAGTATTCATCCATGCCATTGGGCATCATATTGTGTGTGCACGTGCTTTGCGAGAGCGTGTGTGTGTGCAGATGTATGACATCTGGACAATATGTTTAGAAGGCCATAGAGACACCTAATCCTCTAGGTGACTGACCCGTTTTTTTTTTTTCCTGCTGTCAGTGTAAAAGACCCTCCGGATGCAATGTCAGGATGGCCTGTGCCAGCATTGTGGGATTATTTTTTGTTAGGTTGGAGTGAAAATGCCAAAGAGTCAGAGAAATCCCTCTTAAATCAAAGGGGGACGACAGAGGATAGTTAAACATGTTCAATTCAAAGTCAGTTTGGACTAAGGAGGACCACAGCATTAACAAAAGACACTGAGGACATTTGCACAGTCAAATATATTTGCAAGAAGTCGTTTGGCAAGATGTGTTAATTTTTTTTTCACTTTGTTATTCATGAAATGATTCATTGCGGGTTGCACAGTCTGTGCCTCGTTATCTGTGTTGCTATACATATTTGCAAAGAGAGGAGCTTTAATGACATACAATGCAAACCAGTTGGACTGCGAATCAGACAACAGAGAAGAGTCACAACGGCACAACGTGTATTTTCCATAAACAAAACAGAAATGGCTGAAATTTTCTCGATATTGTTGTTCACTCCATGGGGAAAAACATGGCTAATCAATAAAAAAAAAAATTTTTAAAGACAACAAATGACTTCAACAGAGTAATAGTTCATAATGACTCATTTTAATCAAAAGCCGCAGCCAGATTCCCCTGGAACAGATCCGGTATGGTGCTTCACGGCGTTCTGACGGTTTTTTTTTGTGTCTTCTCTTTCAGCATTCCCCACTTGTTGCCGGACTACATCCAGGAACAGAACAACCCTCCCCCTTTCAACTTCTCTGACCCGGCCCTGCGCTACATGACCCACTGCAGCCCTCGGATCATCGATAACGTCAAACCCAGGCAGCGCCTCAGATAGCCCCAACCGAGAGGGGCGAGAAGCTGTTTCACCTTCAAATCCTTTTTTTAATAATTAAAAATAAACGCAGACACTTTCGGAGACACAGTGTGTGTTTCACGATGACAATATGACAGACGGTCATTTATATTTTAGGGCATCGGTCATTAAATCACAATGACTTTTTTGAGTCCAGTTTTTCTACTCCACTGAGTTTAGTGATGCCAAACCACCCCCCACCCTTCCTCCCTGTAACGCAAGATTACAGTTAGGATCTGACCCAGCAAAACTCGACAATCTCTTGGCAGGAAAACGCTGATGAAAAGTAAACCGCTGCAGTGCTCTTCGTCTTCCAAGCTTAACAGCGGGCCAACAGCCACCTTGAAACCCACATTAACATTTCCCGGGGTACCCGGTGTCAGGCCCCCCTGCCGTTGCTCCCAATTATAGTGCGAACCGGGGCCCTGTCCTCGGACCTAACCGTCTCATAAAACTCTCGATTGAGATGACATCCATCCCAGAAAAGTAAGAGCGACTGTCTCCCCCGATAGGATTTGGAAAATCAACGTCTTGAATTACAGCTTATTGTTGGACGGCGGCCCGGTTAGCGAACGCACAGCCGAGCTGTTTTTCAGCCAGAAGCTGCCCCGCCACTGCCCAGAAAACACACCCTTTGTAAATGTCATCTGAATATTGGTAAAACGATGCTTTCGTTGACAAAAAAAAAAAAAGCATTTGTGTAGATTATTACTAGATAAGGCAAGAAAATGCACGGAATTTTGTGAAACTCAATTTTCATTTCAATGTAACACAATTCTTTGAACACATCACTAATAATAGTAATTAATCCTGAATATAAACTGCTTTTTAAGTTTTTTTTTCCTAATATCAGATTGTTTGTGATCATTCCATCAATCAAAATTTTAAAAACTACATTTAATTTAGTCAATTGCACATTGTCCAGAAAAGAACGTTGCTTGTCCACTCGAGATTTCTTGCTTTTGAGAGATTTCGGCTTATGTAAGCCTAATGTACCTATGATGTTTGATTTGTTAAATGTAATCAAAGTCAAATTTCAAAGTAAAAAATATGCTAAACACCATATCACTGTTGTTAGTTGTTTCTTTTGGAAATGATGAATGACGACTTTTTTCTGACATTGGCGTTAACGTAAATTAACAGTACATCTATCGTAGCTCTTCAAATCTGCACTAAACTTAAAAGAAAAAAACATTTTTTACACCCCCTCACTGGTTTGTTTTGCAGCTCCTTGCAGTTTCTCCTGCAGTCACCAGGTGTCACAGCTGAGGCTTCCCTGCCAAGGGGGATCAATCACATTGGTTTACGAGTATGGTTAAAGCAAAGCACTTTCACGGCCATAAAAAAGTGCACGCACACACACACACACACACGCTCACACACACACACACACGGCCATCCAGACACCTGCTCCGCAGCCTTCATCTGGAGTGGCCACAGCATGCGGCGGACCCCTGCAGAATGAGATCATCTGAGTAGGGCCCGCTCCCCCCCGAGACTGCAGAGTCACACACCTGCCCCGCGCTCCCGCCGGGGTCAAGGACGGGGGGAGCTTCCCCCAAAACCCCCCCAAAAAATCTGCTCCTGTCACTTCTTTATAGCGGGGCCCTCATCAAATGCACGCAAATAGCCCCGCGTAACCCCCGCCGCACCTCTCTTTTGCTCCAGTTTCAGCAGCTACGGGACTGATTGAGCGTGTAAACTGAGAATGCACCACAAGACAGCACCGGGGGGGGGGGTGGTTGTGGAAGGAAACTTCTAGAAAGGCTGAAGATTTTTTTTTTTTAAAAAGAGTCCCCCCCATGCCAGTAAAATATCGTGACACCTGTGAGCGAAATCGGCCCGGCGAAGGGTTTAGGGTTAGGGGCTTCCAGTTTTTTTTTCCGGTTGCTTCCGGAAGGCTGCGGTGCCCGGACTCCAGGCTTCACCTGACTGCAGCAGGGCAAAAAAAACTGGAGGCGGGCCAGCGAGCGGAGACGGACGGACGTTGGGAAGAGTCGGAGACAGCGACAAGGGGAGGGGGGGGAAATGCAAAGAGGCGAAGCAAAGGCCTAAAAGATTCTGCCCGTCGGCCAGGAAGCGCCTTCGCCCTTTCCGTCCCCTCTCATAAAACCCAAGACACGTTCATGTTTTAAAACACTTGATGATTTGCTGGAAGCCCAATAAATAGATACAAGTTCGGGGAGGGGGGGGTGGGTTGAAAACTAAGTGCATGCTTAACACTATATCCATTTCATCACAACATGACTGAAATAGGCAGGGACTTGCAGACCTGAACAAATCCTATTATCCGGTTTAAAGCCATTAATCATTTATGCCTCATGATGCAATTTTGGTACTCAAGTAGTGACAGTTGACCAGAATACTAGTTGGTTAGGCTGATAAAGGCCTTCATGCTAACAGGGAGTGGTTAACCGAGGGCTATAGCCGATGTACGCCCATAAGGTCATACGGGTAATCCAAGATTCTGGTCAGATGTACCGGAAACCACACGGGGACCGAAAAAAAAAAAAAAAAGCTTTACGTGAGCTAACTTATACAGGAGGATGCAGATGATCAAACACACGCCCTGGAAAGCAAACAGTCGCCGTGCGCGCGCTCAAACATTGTAAAGGACTTTTCCACTATTCGCCTGACACCGGTGGCGCACAAACAACAGCCATTCTCCCCCCGTGTAAGGCGATCCGCTCACCTGGCAGGGAACCAGGAGCTGCATTACAAATCCACATCCATTAATAATGCTGTCCCCGTCTTTCAGTTACACAGGTAAACATCTTCTCGTATTTGTCACCAGCACTTAATCCCTCAAAGTCCTCACATGCCACTTAGGCACGCAAATTGGCCCTTTTTTTTTTTTTGCTTGAAAGCAGCTTTATTTTGGGACACGATTATGAAATACCTCATCAGACAATGGACAAACCTGACCTCACGTGGCCCCCTGCAGTGCCCGAAATGAACAAACCTACATGGCGCGGAGGGGTTTTTTTTCGCTCCCGTGGAAGGAGGCAGTGGGAGGTGGCGTTCTAGAAGATGGAAGGCTGACATTAGCCTTCCTTCGGCTGAACCTGGGCGACCTTTGACCTCCGCTGGACTGAAACGAAAGCTGATGTTTAGAAAATTGGTACGGGTTGGGCACAACCTGATAAGGGAGCATTATATGAGGCAGTTACATATTCACAGAGCCGATAGGGACAGGAAACTCAGAGCAATAGTGCAAATACTGAGCAGAGGTTTGAGAGCTAATTGTGTGTGTGTGTGTGTGTGTGTGTGTGTTTATAAGTGGATTGATTTGAGTAAAACATAATGCCCTCCTATTAGCACAACTTCTAACAACAATGCAGTAACGCGTTGCATTGAACTCCCTGTTAGGAGCTTAGAATTACATTGCAGAGTTTGGTTTAGATTTTCATAGAGTATTAAGTAATGTCTCTTGGGTTTCGGTATGCCTCATTTATATCATCCTCCAGCAATCATTCACCTATGACCAGAGCTGAATCCGCTGAGACCTGGGATTTTTTTTGGGGGGGCAATCATCTCCAAGCCAAACAAGTGATTCCGCGCGTTGAATGAAGGGCAACTTTAGACGATTGTGTGGGAGGATTAAGCAGATACCCGTTCTCATCTTCAAACATGATCCGGCGTGGCCTAACAGTGAACCGTTTTCCTGAAAGGAGATGGATTGAAGTAAATCAACACACACGTCTCGTAATGGCGTTTGGAATGCTGTTTGTTTAGTTTTTTTTCAAAAAGGCAAAAGGTTAATCAGCACACCTCCGTGTACAGTCATTCGCACATGCTACAGCTTATCTGGTTCTTGTGACAGATTTAGGCCTTTGTGCTGTCACCTGTAGCATTACATAATCTACACAGTTACAAAAAACCCACAGTAAGAAAACAGATTTACATAAAAAGAATCCAATATGCTCCAGATTAGTTGGGTTGAGGGAAAGTCTAGCTCCTTGTCAGGCAGCTAATGAGCTCACATGGCATTGGCTGCATCACCTGGAAACAGGATCCATTCGGAATGATAATTTATTCCATCTGTATTTAAGATTTTGAGCTTTTAACAAGTCCTGCTAACTTGTTTAATGAGATTTAACAAGAGACACAGTATAACCATATGGACGAGGTTCTGTTTTAATGCCAGGGTATTGTTATACTTTCTCGAAATAGTTCTTAAAATTCCTCACTTTGCTCATGTCTGCGTCTCCTATCAGATCAGGGCCGAGGCAGGTGGTCACTGGGAAGCAGGGGGGGGGGGCACTCAGCCATATGCAATCAGGATATCAGATACTCCCATCCACACCAGCAGAGCAATTAGGCTCAAGAATCCACACAATCATCTGACAGCAATGCCTGCCACAGGAGCACTTATTACACATCTATATGTGGACTCATTGACAACACACAGACTCACACGTGCATGAGGAAACAGATATTACAAGCAATTAGACCCCGACTTTTAATTAGACAACATGTAAAATGATTCAAAAAAACTTTCCAAAAAGAAATGTGGAACTTCATTCAGGTGCCGCATGAACTTATCAGTGTATAGTAACTTATGAAGACCACTTTTTAAACAGCTGGGTTTTCAACATACAGCTGAAACACAAGTTACGCCATTAAAAGTCATAAACTATGAAATGGCTTAAGAAACAGATAAATGAACCTAAATGGGTCATCTATATTTAAAAGTCACAAACTATGTCCCTAGCAGTTAAGATGACTTGTCAAAAAAAACTATGTTGCTGGGCCTCCCCACAGATGATGCCCATATGTACTCTCTATATTCAACAAGCTCGTCTGCTGTGCCTTTAGCACTGACTAGGACGTCTATGGACAAGATGCAGCGGCAGCGCAGACCAAGGGAGTGACGCATTGCAGGTACAAACGGACCAATCAGAGAGCGCGGTTTCTCTCGGCTGCGTCTTGTACCCTATCGCAGAGTAGCAGAAAGTATGCATACGCCGTGATATAGACCATCATTAACACGTAATATGTTGTCTAATCTCTTGATTGATACGACAACAGCCGCGGCGAATGAGTGTGTATATCGCGTGTCTATTTTTTAACGCCAGTGAATATATCTCAAAAGGTTATTTTCGACGAATTTACTCACGTAGGGAAAAGGAAGTTGGCGGATTGATATGCAAAAGAGGAGGGGTTTAGGATAGCCGTTAAAGGCGAGTCCGGTTGGCCCGTTCTCAGTGTGTTCGGTTGTTACTCCTCCGTACGTTGTCAGACTTTGGGTTTAAACGGATATTGTTGTGAAGCAGCAGCAGCTACATATACATCGAAATGGTAAGGGAAACCAAATCTAATTTTCTGCGGACTAGGTTTACTAGCGGTTTTTCAGCCAAGGTTTGCGCTTTACTGCAGTAAAACGTAACGCTCATGGTATAAACAGACATTGAACGTGCTGTAGTTACTGCAGAGCTTTCTCAATGAATGACAAGCCAGCGGGGGATAGGCAATGATGATTTGCCCGTTGGTTTTGGCGGTATGAATCCTAAAAAGTGACGAAATACAGCTGCAAAAGCATATTGCGCTTGAAACTGCATCGGCGTTGTTTGCCCAATAATGCTGCGTTAATAAGTCAAAGCGCTTTTACAGCCAAGCTCTGTTTTTTTTGGGAAGGAATGTGGCTATTCTCCCGCCGCTATTTTGTCCGTAAAGTCCAACCTATTTTTTTTCCCTTTTCCATATTTCTGTTGGCTACGTGCAACGCTCCTTAAACAGCTCTGTAAACGAGCCTTTTTCTGTTACGATAGCTAGCCGGGGCTTGCTCTTCCCCGCTGACATTTACCGCCAAATTGTCGATGAGCATTTCCAGCGATATGGGGCGTTCAAATCTCGTTCAAACCTTATACTTATTTATTTATTTTTTAGGATAGTCGTCTCTCGCTCGTCCTCTTTATTTGTTACCCCCTTCGTGATAAACCTCAAAGGAATGGTTATCCCGGAAGATAACACGGCTGTTGTGGTTATTTCTCCCCCACAAAGCTCTGAACTATAGAAAGTTGCATTTATTTGATTTTTTTCCGTTTGGTACCAGGATTCCCATAAGGTCTTCAAAAGATGGAAATGAGTTTTATGTCTTGACCTTATTGACAAGCTAATGATGGCATCGTTTTGTATTTACAGGCTGATCAGCTTACAGAAGAGCAGATTGCTGGTAAGACATCGCTGCATTGATCCCCTACTTCCCTCATAACCTCCACACTGGCCTGCAGTTATGGATTGTTGCATCCCTTGCAGTGGATTTATGCTTTTTGCCTTTTAAGGCATTCCTCAGGGCAGCCTACTGGCCATAAAACCGCTATGAAAGAAACGGCTGTTGTCCGCTCTCTCCGGAGCACTGGCGGACTCCCTCTGTGAAAACTTTGCATTTCCACCGTTGCCATGCAGTAAATGATGTAATCTGGAGGGGCCGCGAGTCCTCAAAGTTGCTGGCAGTCGCCTTCTCTGCGAGCCGTGTCCTTTGCCCTGGGTGTGTGATCATCGTGGAATGGCACCAGAACTGCAGTAGCAGTTTATAACTTGGTTTATGGTCGTCTAAGATTAGGCATGGACGTTGTCAGTCACTGAAGCCAGGGGTTTCTATACATTCCCAGTAGAGCATATACAAACACGGGTATATCAGTTTCCCACAGAAATGTAACATTTCTGATTTACTTGATTCAACATCTGGCTTGTTCGTTTGTTTCTTGGTGTTTGGAGCACATCTGGAAGTTCTAAGGTTTGGAGTAAAGCAGCTCAATTTTTAGTCAAATCTACACTTAGAAACTAGGAGTAATTACTTTTTTTTTTGCTACTTTTTGATATCAAGTCCTTTTTTTCCCTTTTTTTTTAAATTTAGTTTTATGGTTGATAAATGGTGTTCTCGCATGATGAGAACGGATTTTGCTGGGTGTGTGTGTGTGACCCTGGGAATGGTGGGGTTGGGTGCAGTTCTTTATGACCCTGACAAGCTGCTGCATGCCACCACACTTTGCCTATTGGCCTCATCGCATTCTATAAGCGTCATTGTTTCTCAGCCCTCATGGCTCCACCAAACCGTGCGTGCGGTTGTTTGTTGCTGATGTGGCCTGACTCTGCCCTGCTGCTCAGTCCCCTGGTCACTGTCATTGTTTAGCCAGAAACGATTGCAACCGGAGCTAAAAACATTTGGGCGTGTCGGTTTGTCATTTGTTACTGAAAGTGGTTTGACAGATTGGAGTCTCCAGTAACTTCTGGGTTTAGCTTGCTGTGAGTTATATGATTGACTGATAGCACGTTTAGATTATTTTAAGTGTTTGGTTTTATTTGTGCTATTTTGTGTGTGTATATATTTCTAAATGTATTTTCTACATTGTCAAACTGTCTCACTAGCTTTAGGTGTGTCATCTCACCAAAGCTGCCAATCAACCGTTTTTAAATTTTTTTTGTTACAATCAGAGTTCAAGGAGGCCTTCTCGCTCTTTGACAAGGATGGAGATGGCACCATCACCACCAAAGAGCTGGGCACAGTCATGCGCTCTCTGGGCCAGAACCCGACAGAGGCAGAGCTCCAGGACATGATCAACGAAGTGGACGCTGATGGTCAGAAAAGGGCTTTAACTGAAAAGTGAGCTGCACGTTGCCACTGGGGCTGGCCGTGAACTCCTCAAATGCTCTGTGTTCAGGCAATGGAACGATAGACTTCCCCGAGTTTCTCACCATGATGGCCAGGAAGATGAAGGACACAGACAGCGAGGAGGAGATCAGAGAAGCATTCCGCGTCTTCGACAAGGTAAATGGCGTCTGCGCACAAACGTGCGGTTGTGGTCTCCAGAAAGATGCTGACCTGGCTGTTTATTTCCCCAGGATGGCAACGGGTACATTAGTGCTGCTGAGCTGCGCCACGTGATGACAAACCTCGGAGAAAAGCTGACTGACGAGGAGGTGGACGAGATGATCAGAGAAGCAGACATCGATGGAGATGGACAAGTCAACTATGAAGGTTAGTAGTTGTAGTTTTTGTATGTCTTTTTTTTTATTTTTTATTTTTTATAAATCTTTTGAACGTTTTGAGCCACAACGCTTTCAATTTTCTTCTTGCAGAGTTCGTACAAATGATGACGGCGAAGTGAAGGCCTTGTACAGATTTCGTATATAAATAATTTGCCTTTTTTTCTTTATTTTATTTTTTTTCTTTGTGTAATTTATCTGTAAAATCTTAATATCCCCCATTCGTCCCCCGCCCCCCCCTGCTGTCCAAAGGAACTGCATGTAAACTGCATAGGCTCTTGTCCCCATGTCCCATTCTTTTGCTGTCATGGTGTTTTGGAGTGACAGAACAGTCAAACAACCAGATGCCCGTGGAGGCCCCTGGGAGCCGGAGAACTTCGAATCTCCCCGTCAAGTGTGCTCGGGGCTCCTCCACGGTTGGCGACATTGGAAGCCTGTCAGCTGGTTGTCACTTGGCAACACTGTTGGCATGGAAGCAATGTAGAGGAGTTGAAACTCTGCATGGACTACGGACAAAGTATATATGGAAATCTCTCAGCGTTGCACTACTGCAAAAAATGACACGGGTGTATCTCCTTGGTACTCGTACAAACTCTTTTGTATCTGCTGTTCTATATACCAGAAAATGACTAATCATGACTTACCATGCTTTTTAATGTTTTACTCCTTACTTTTTTCTTTCTTTTTCTTTTTTTTCTTTTAATGGCCTCTGGCCATGCCTCAAATATTCCATTCCAAGTTGTATATTTTTGTTTTCCAATAAAATTTACAATCTACCCAGATTTGAAAATTGTCTTGTTTTTCAGTTAAAGTGGATCATTGAGTTTGTAGAGTTCCCTTTTTTTTTCTCTTTTTTTTTTCCTTGTATGCAAACAGGATGCTCAAGTTTTGAATGACTCTTTTTCTGAAAGACTCATGTGAAATGTTTACCAATTAAAACCCCTTCCCCCTTTTAAATTCCAAAAGCACTTGAGGAGCATCAGCCAATGCCTCTTAATGTTCTGAGCTCAGATCAGCTTTGTATTGAATTATAGGCACCGAGTGGGATCAAACGCTTCTATTTTTGAAGCGTACACAATGGTACTCCACATCACACTGGCCTTGTACTGTCCAGCTCCTTAAACTACGTGGGTCATGTGTTGTCTGCTCGTGCTTGCGCGGCACCATGTAGAAGCTGACTGCCTCATGTCTTACTTGGCATTTCACCCGATCACAAGGTGTTGGTGACCGGGTGTACATCAGAAACCATGGTGTATATAAAGGTGTACCTGTTTTTTGATTTTCTTCTTTTTTTTTTTTCTTCCCCTTCCCTTGAGTTTGTTACAGTAGCTTGCAGAGATACTAAGTTTGTTGTTTTTGAATGAGGAAAATAAAGCTATTGTGGACCTCTGCTCTGCTTCTTGTGTTTTATTCTTCAGCTGCTGTTGGTTTGCTGGATTTTTTAGTGGTTGCTGAAACTCCTCAGGCTTTGGGAGTAATATTGGCTATTGAACATATTAGCCCTGAACAATACAGATTAAGTTGAATTTTAAATCCACTAAAAACCTTTTAACACAGCAAAAAAATAACAATAAAAGAGAAAGACTAGTCTTGTTGGTTCGAATGGGTGCCAAAGACATCTTTGTGAGCTCCTTTGATCTCAGGTCAAATTGGACTTGTGAAAAACTGACAAAGATAGAAAGAAATGACTTGAAGTCTACATAAAGTATCTTTACATATGAGGTATACAGTATTCGGTGAACTGAACTTGTAGATTCTAGGACGAAGATCATAACATTGCTCATTGGCTGCCCGTTTGTTCTGTTTTTGTTTTAATGTATCCTCATTTCACGAGACTTTCCTGTTAAGTAGTGTTAACGCATGTCTCTGGCTTCTTCAGACCTTGTAGCTTGGCAACTAGGAAAATTGCTGCAATTTTGCAGTCGGCAACATTTTTACCCTCAGGTGTGGGGTGGACGTTCCACTATACTGACAGAGTGATGCTCTGGTTATTTGAACCTACTTTTTATAAAGAAAAAAAAAGGAAATCATACGCACAGAGATTGGAGATTGAAAGAATTTCCCATGTCTAATACAACATTCCAGTGTTTCTTCAGGGTTTTCTCTCTTTGTCCCTGCCAGTGAACTCTTCAGTAATGTGCAATCTTGGACTTCATCACAAAACCATCCGTCTCTGACTCAGGGGATACTGTCAATGAGGGGAGCTAGGCGCAGCGGGTACATTATGTACCTTGGTGCTGGCCCATTGTCCTACTCTCAGTCAAACTGGTCGTTGAGTCTATATTTAGCTTTGCCCAGGCTGGCGTATTGAAAAATTCATAGGCAGCGGAGTTGCTGCTATGGTTTTTTAATGGTGGTCCGGTGTCACTGGACCTGCTGTCATGAAGACAATGAGCAAGTGCTCCATTCGAAATCACCATGTTGCCGAAAGTCAGTGACAAGTCAGGTGGTGGCTACGGAGCCAATAAGGTAGGGGGTCCAGGTGGTGTTTATGAGGACATCTGGTGATCGGTGACCGAGACGATCGGTGTTGTAGATGGATCAACACTTTTTTGGCACTGCAGTGTCCCAGCCATATGAATCTGTGTCTTGGATTGTGTCTTGTTCTTAACTGGAGGGTGGTGACAGATTAGACATGTTTGGACTAGGGAAGTGGCGGGGTAGGAGCTCAGAAACAAGGTGTCATAAGTCAGTCTTTCAAAATCCTGCCAACAGTTTGGATATGACCATGGCCCGTAAGCTCATGCAAGTCCAAAGTGCCAACACGACAAGGTGTACAGCTACCAATCAATACCCCGCACATGTGTGATATTTGCTCACTTTGAAAGATCTTAGCTGTTGGGATTAGTATCAAGCTCATGCACTATGCCGATGTGTCATCCAATTTCTTCCTAATTCCTTTGCTGTCAGGCAATGAGATCACATAAAGTTCCAGTTTGAGAAAGTGCTATTCTAATGTATTTGCATCAGAGGGCTGCAATCTTTTGTCCTTCTGCTTCCTGATTCTTGTTTTCTATGAGAAAAATCAGAAAACAGAAGTGTTACCGTAGTAGTTTCATAGTTCCTTGAAGATCAACTTGCTTTCGTCATCTAGCAGATTCCAGATTCCCATCCAAGAAAAAAAAGTGTGTAATATGGGGCATTCTGCATAAAAGCCCCACTCTAGTAGTTATTCATCCCTTAAAACTCATGTGTTTCTAAAAATGATCAAATTCTTACCATGAAAAAAACCTTATGGCCCAACTTTGGCATACTGCAACCTCGTCATAGCCGAATCCTTGACAATTGCGATATTAAAAGGAAACATAAATCCCCATGTAGGTTTTCTCACTTTAGCTAATCATAAAACATTTTGTCCTACAGCTCGCACATCAAAGGTATTGAAGTTGTAGATTCCTTGAATGTTTTCTTTCTTTAGGGATACTCTAATCTCAGATGTTCCGTCACACTGAGGATATTGTTTGGAAAGATCTGAGCAGAAAAGTCCAGACTCAGGGCGGGAGGGGCGGTCTACCGCTACTGAGGGAAGACAATCACATTGACTTCACCTGTGACGTCCTTATGGTCCTCTCACCATTTAAAAAAATGCCCTCAGCCTGGTATCACCAAGCTGGTGACAAGGCAGGCCTCACACAGAGCCATGACGAAGTCATTACGGAACTGGTCTGATTTCAATGGAATTGTTCGGGATAGAGGAAAATACACCATTTGCCCATTTTGGAATGGTTTTGACGAGTCGCTTCCTGTTGTGGTAACACCTCTTACACTTATGAGTACGACTGCAAATGTGATTCACACAGATGAAGTGATGCTGTTCCCTGCTCGTTAGGGTTGGCTTTCGATGGCTGTTCACTCCAAAGTGTGAGATGAAGTATTCCTAACAGAACAACAGCAACACGTTGCAGCTTTTATTTTTATTTTTTGCTGAAGTTGGCACTGTATGGAAAGCCAACTCCAATGGGAATGCAGTCAAACATTTACGTTGACTTTTGAATCTTTATTGAAAGTAGTCATCTGCCAAATTCAGTTTGTTTTTATACAGACGTCTTTGCTTCTCAGGGTTGTGAAATGGTCATATTACGACGTTCCAAGCACTTTGCCACCTCGGACTGTTGCCATTCCCTCTCAGAACCTAAAAGACATTGGTTTTGTGGGTGTCTACTGATGAAGCGTGTTAGGTTTTATAGTTCATCTCGGGTGCCCCTGAGACCAGAGAAGCCCACTGCCATTCTTTTCTGAACGGCAAGCTTTAGGTGGCACATTTGACTGTAACACCATATTGAAGTGCCTGAAAAAGATTTTCCACAGCGTTCCCTCGCCCCATGTGGTTACATCAGCTGTCAACGAACAACGGCTCTGGATGAGACGCCGTCTTGCAGATCGCATGTCACAGATGTCTAGGTGGGGCTCGTTCCCCTCACGTGCTGGAATACTTCTGCATTCGTTGAATCACTGTATGCTGTAAACTAGAGAGGAAGAAATAGGCCAATCCCCTCAAATCTTTCTTCAAGGAACCTTGTGTCAGAACTTTTCGCTGATTTTTCTCACACACTAGATGTTTGTTCAATTTGCATATTATTTATCTTGTTAGTGTTAATCTAATTATGGTCAGGCACCTCGGGTGATTGTTTGTTTCATGCCTCTCCTTTGAAATGTAATATACCAAAATATAAAAAGAGGGTCTAAAAAGAAAATGGAGGGATGGAAAAGTCACACTTTGATCTCAAAATGGATGTCTGTGAAATGCAACAGAATGTAATCGAAGGAATCCCTGTTCTTAAATTCCTACCGTACCCACATCATCGGATTTAGTGTTTTTTTTTGTTTTGTTTCTCAGCATAAGTAGCTTCTCTTAAAAAGGCTCCGGCAGCAGTCCTCTCATGCAAGCGCCGAGGATCTAATGAATTCAGACGCCTGCTGCTGGCGGTGTAACACAGCCTCGAAAACAAACAAAAGAACAAACAAACAAAACAAACCCCCCCCCCAAAAAAAAAACTCATGGTGATCCTGTCATGTGCACTTAAACACTTCTTTATCTTTCTTCCTGGCGCCGCCACATCAACCCTTTACCGTGTCACTTGAAGTTGACAGCAAAACCAGTACAGAAGATTCCCCGCAAGTAAGCTTTCCGCAAACAGCCTCTCTTTAACTCTCAGATCACAGCGGAGCGGACAGCTCATGAATCATCCCTTGATCGCCGAATCCTTCCCTCACATCTGACTTCTTTTTTCCCTCCCTTCTCTCATCTCCTCACGGCTCCAAACATGGAGGAGCAATCACCAACATGCTCACTCATTTTCTCTGCCTCTGATCAAGCGTGGCCTTATTCTTTTCTTCCTGCTCTCTTCCTTGCATTGTTCTCCTCTCATTTCTTGTTTTCTTTTTGTTTTCGACAGCCAATCTCTTTCTCCTTCCCCCCCCCCCCCCCCTCCTCGTGATGTTTCGCTCGACCGTGCAGCGGATCGGCTTTCCACCTGTAAGTATCTGGTCACCTGGGCCGGTTATTAGGACCGTCCGCTCTTTCCACGGCCCAACGGAAAAGGCTTCATTACAAAATATACCCCGTCGGTGAGGTTTCGGTTACAACTTCTGACCTAATGCGGATCCGCTATGCATACGAGCTAGTTATGACAACCACGAGGGGTCAGAGAAAACCGATCCCGCGGGCTGTCCGATTGTATCATTTGCCCCATTGAAGGGCCTGTTATGGCACTGGGCTGGACGACCAGTCGGCTTCGGTTCATATTGCAGAGCCCTGCGCTCTCAGCCGTACGCCGACGCCGTAGCCGATAGATATTTGAGTCCTGCTGGCAGCTGCTGAGTGTTGACAGAAAAGGAAGGGTGCGAAGAAACCCCGAGGGTGCTATTACCTGCCGAGCCGGGAGCAGTTTCCTGCTGTAAGTGGTATCGCCGAGACCCGAAGACAATTTCTTTTTTCATCACCGGTTAAGCAGCCACATAAATCCCGCAGCGCTGGTAATTGAGGATCAACCGCACAGACGACCAAACAGAGGTCACTCACATTAGCAGATCAAATATGACGTGCCTTACTTGTTTGAGATAAGACTGTTTCGGCTGGAGGACCGGGGTTTGAAATGGCTCTGATTCAACACTCTAAGCCTCCAGAAAAAGAGAGACGTACTCTCCTTTTTTCCCTTAGCTGACTTCTTTTCTCCATAGTAGGATACATGAATGTCCTAGATTCTCCTGTTTTTAAATCATTAGCAATATGGGCTGTGCATACTGCTCTGAAGAAACACCCTTAAGCTTGTTTGATTTAAGCATCCTATTCCCAGAGATTTTTTTAATATACCAAGTATACTCTAGGTTGCTGGATAACCAAAGTGATTCCCTGTGTAATTACTTCATTACGGTTTGAGATGCCTGTTGTCCTTATTCACAGACGGTAATATCAGGGAATTGATCCCAAATACGATTAGATGGCTTGTCTGCTAAATTAATAACTACATAATGACTGAAAATACCCTGTGTCTGTGTGGGTTCTCTCCAGGTACCCCGGCTTCCTCCCACCATCCAAAAACCTGCAGGTTAGGTTTATTGGACATTCCAAATTGCTTTAAAGGGTGAATGTGAGTGAGTGTGTTGTTCGTACTTGTGTGTCTCTGTGTTTCCCCATGATGGACTGGCTGACCGTCCAGGGTGTACCCCGCCTCTCTCCCATTGGCTACTGGGATGGGCTCCAGTCCCCCCAGAACCCCATTTGGGAATAAGCGGTTCAGAAAATGGATTGATGGATGACTGAAAAATAAATATGAATAGGATAAAACGAATAAGGACAATACAGTTGATTATTTGACTTTTTATTTCTATCAAATAAGATTCCTGTGAACTTGTCAGAGTCCTTGCTTCGGGACACAAATTGATTATCATTTTTAACTGGTCTTGAAGACAAATCAGTTCTGAAGCATTACAAGCTATTAAACGTCGTGGTGCCATTCATATTCTCATGACAAGTACATTAGATAGCGCAGTCGGCTTATATTCAGGAAATGGAAATGCCTACTCTAGTCATCAATCTATAAATCAATAACTGTGTTATGTGAAAAAAAAAGTGCCAGGCCACACTGTCACTACCTGAGGTTTATTTTTTAAGTCAATTTTTAACTGCGCTAATGTGCTAGTTAGCTAAAGCAGTTAGCTAAGCTAGCAAAAGTCAAAATTAGAGCTTTAAATGTTTACAAAAATGCTTTTGCAGCTACTCAACAGCGAACGCGTCTCACGTCAAACCCCGCAAAACCTCCGAAAAATCAAATAAAAACTCAAACAATCCATAGAGAAGGTGTGAAAGTTTCACCCATTATAGCATGTGCCAGTTACCCACGCCACCGAGGAGCGCCACACGGGGGAAAGTAGGCCAGGTGCTTTGGCTCAAGCGCACTTCCACACATCCGTGGCACACTCCTGTCCACAGACTCCAAAGAATTACACCTGCATTAGCACCTCCCGGTGCATTAGGCAGGTGTGCGGAGGCCTGACAGGCCCATTGCCAGGGATCAAGTGAGCTGGCAACTGAGCTCAAATGGCATGAAATTCCCAGCCGTGCCTCCAAGAAGCAGGGGGAGAGGGAAAAAACGCATCCCTGTCTCCCTGGGTTAGAGTCAGAGAGGAGCTGGAAAATGAAAGCCCGGTCGGTCCTTGGTTTAAGGGACGCAGCGACAGTTTTTATGTCTGGGGATGAGGGGTGGAGGAGGGGCAATGCTATTTCTGCATGGCACACCGATGACCAGTATGTGTGTTAGTGGGTAAGGAGAAAGGAGAAGTGAAAGGCAAAGGAAGGCAGAGAGACTGTGACTTTTGACAGACTTAGCCTAGATACAGTCAAATAAGAGACCTGATGCTTAGGGTTGTACATTTAAATCAGACAATAAATAGTCAATGGAATGTTGCAAGAGTTTCCAATTCCATAAAATGAATATTTGGAGTTTCATTTTCAGTATCCACTTACTAGGCTGTAACAATGAGTTTTCATGAGCTCTGGGCTTCGTGCCAGACTTTATATATAAGTAATGAATGTAGTCACTGTTCTAATGTGGGCTAATGTTTTTAAAGCCTCCATTTCAACCTTTTGGTAGTTGCCATATTGATTTTTGCAACCAACGGGCTCAAGGTCAGAATCTCTGTGAGATTTAATTGTTTCAGCCTTTAATGCTTTACTTTCTTAGGAGGGTTTTTTCCAGACTATGTGTCAACAGTCAGACTTGCATAAAGAGCATAGAAATCCACATTCCTTATTATTAATGACATTCACTATCTCCCCTTTCATAGTGGAATAAATGATGAAAAAAGGCTGGACCCACAGAATATTTAATGTAAAACATATTGATTAAACATGAACCAGCCGAATGAAAAGTGATGCCATCTTTATTGTCACACGGCTTTGTGCTATTGTTGTCGGTTGTGTCAAGTGATGTGGACATGACATTGGAAATGACTTAAGATTTCTGCATTCAGTTAACAAAAAGAGTGAAAAACAAGTGTTTCAAGTAACAGCTATCCCTAAATCCAATTTGAAATAACAACTTGAGAAGAGAAGTATTTCAGTTAAAAAGGCTTGAATATACTTTAGTAGTTATCTTAACAATTGTACATAAACATTTGGGAAATGAGAACACTTTTAGAGTGGAAAATTGAAAATATACATATATAAATATATTTTGAATTGTAAAAATATAAATATTTAATGTAATATGTAATAACCCCTTTTTACTCCTCTTCCCTTTTCAGGACGTTGATTTGAGACATCTTCTTTGTAATCTTTAATGATTCAACAAAACGTTTTAATAACTTATCATTCAGGAAAACTAATTTATGGGTACTATATAAACTTTACATTTTTAATGCATTGTTAAAGGGGTATGAAGTGGAAATTAAACAAGTTGGAAAGTGGATCATGAGAACTTGCACATTCTAATTGTGTTACCACAAATGAACCACCTAAATAATTAATGATAAATGAACCCCTGCACAGCCCTACAAGAAAGTGGCTTGTGGCCAGATTTTGCGTGCTGAAGTGCAACTTTGCTCTTTTTCTGCTGTGACTTTGCTTTCCGTTGCTTATCTACAACGGCTTTGACTCACCTGCCATAGTTTTACTGTAGTCCTGATGCAAAGTACAGAAACCTGCTTTTTTAAGTGTGGTATTAAAAAAAGGCACACAGGAACTTCCTGGAAAATGTCGACTCTACCAGCAAAACATTAGTGGGAAAAATCCAGTACCTACTGTGTGCATAACAACAGCGTATGCGTGTGGCAAATAAAAAAGTAGCCCTCTAATTCTTTGTTTATAGTATATTTTCTGGACTTGTTTTGTAATGCCCTTTAAAACGATTCAAAATTCCTTGCAAATCTCTTCCTTGTCATTAGGTAAGGCCCTCAAGGCCGTCCATAATAGTGTGTCTTTAAGAGAGTTTTGTTTTACTAAGGCATCTAAGGAAGTATCCATTTACCTTTATTATTTGAATTTATGGAATGTAACGACATTTAAAAGAGTGAGTTCCGCCTTCTTAATATATTAGAGTTAAAGTTATTTAAAATTCCATGATGAGCAAGTAAAAGGTGCCCTTATCGTTAGTTAATTTGATGATCCCGTAATTGGCCCTGATGGAAATGCATCTAACTTTAAGCAGATTATTTAGCATTCAGATAATTGCCATACCTAAAATGAAAAGCCACTCAATTGCATAACAGGTGGCAGGTAAGGAAATCATCTCTCATCTCCAGAAGCATAGGTCCATGCGCCCTCCTGGCCGTTGTTTGGTCACCGGCATCACGATCCCGTCTTTAAGGCTGTTTTCCGACAACATTTCAGAGCAATCCCAGGACACC